CCTTAACTAGTTTATTCTTTCATACATTGAATACATTTTTAGTTATTGTGTAAAGGATAGTTATGTCTCTTCTTCCTCTTCCTCCCCGATTAGAGGCGAATAGGCCTCTGGTCAATTTTTTTTTCTTACCCAAAACAACATCGTTTTGGAGTTCTACTAAAACGATGTCATTTTGATCCCTTTTTTTTTTCCTATTTTATGGGTTGTTACAAATGTGTCATGCATGAAGCTGCTATTACATTCTTACAGAGATACAATACCAATTATTTTAATAGTAAAATAATTCATATACTATTCAAAAATTTCTATTTAAATGTTTATACTTTTTTAAACATATATTGATTTTTATACTTTCAAATTGTTTATAAGTTTCACTTAGTGTTGGATTTTGTTTTACATATAGGCAAAAATTAGTATAATCTAGGCTATATATTTTTTAATTGAATTGTTTTGTAACCAAGCAAAAATTGGGATATGAGAACTTAATGGCTTGGCAAAGATGTCAACAAGTTGAAATATAGGAAATACAAAATAGTAGTAAATAGATTATATATGATTGATGATTAATCAAGTAAACATAAATAATTACATAAACTCCTAGTAGTTAAAAAAATTAGCTAGACATGGTTAAATTAAAAATAATACTTAACAAAGAAACTATAATAACAATAAAAGTCATACTTCAATTAGATAGCAAAACCAAAAATAATATTAAGTACTCGAGTCATAGAAGTAAAAATAAAGAGAAAAATAGAAGAAAAATAAACTTTTTTAAAGCCCTTGAACTATAATCTTCCTTCTTCTCCTTGTTATCTAGTCTTGTTTCCTTACTTTTAGTTGCCTTCTAGTAGTCTCCTCTTTTCTTGTTAACCTCTTTGTCATCTCTGCTTAGTTGGTATCTCTTTCCTTTTAAATATATATAGTTGTAGGGTTCGTAAGTAATTATAAGTTAATTTCATATAAAATCATAATGTAATCACAAAAGTTCTCATAAGCCACAAATGCACGTACTTTAACCTTGTAAAACAAGATTTACTCGTTGTAGTGGATTAATTTAGCCACTACAACATATGCATTTAGATTTGAACTTTTTTTTTTTCAGATTTTTTCCACTACAATTGGTTAGAAATCAAGTTATATCGATCATGTCATGTTTTCATATTTATTTTTAGCATATTTTTATTTAGAAACAATCATTTTTGTTGTGAAAATATATTTTTACCTAAATTTTAAAAAAATACGTGAATTAATGAATTACTTTAAATAAATAATAAACACGATAAAATATAAAAATAAAATCGATATATCATGATTCAACTAGAAACTATTTTTTTTTTTTTTACTTATCCAATTCTTTATTAACAAATTATTTGTTAGATCAAGCGCTTTTTAATCAAATAGGATATACCTTCCATTTCTTTAGAATGGTAAATCCTTTGATGGTACTTACCCAACTTTATGAACTTCAAATGAGACCAATAATTATCCTTTATAACTAGTCACCAACTATATCTTAATGGTACTAAAGCATGATGAAACACTCATTAAACGACTCGCAATAAACTTAGAGTTTATGAACAAATCTACACATGTCATAATAAACTCTATAAAATTTGTCAAAGAAGTAACCTTTGTGCATCAACTCATTCACCTATATATAATTTGAATAATTTAAAGACTTAAAAATATATATATATATGTGCATAAAATTATTCACACTGTAGTATGAATTTTATTATTTAATTAAACTATATCTTCTAAAATTATTTGTTAAAATTAATACCCTTCAAGGATAAAACAATCAAATCTAACATCTTAATAATTTTAATTGATTTCAAAATAAAATTACATAGGAAACATATATCTACTGATATTATTTATAAATCTATTGACATTATTTTGATATTAAATATATATATATGTATACGCTTTAGTATTGATTTTTTCCATTGAATTTAAAATTCTAAAATTAAAGAAGTCAGTTTTTTTTTTATAAAATTATTAAATATTTTGTGATCTACTGTGTATTGAGTTGCAAATCCTCTCAATTTGTTTTCCTAACTTAAAATATATTATAAATATTTAAAATAAATCTATATATCTCTTGAAATAATAAAAAAATAATTATCGTAAAAGAATATTTTATTTATTTTTGTTGTATCTGATTGTTTTTTTTTTTCATGTTCTGTTTTACTGATTACATAATTTCTATATATAAATACATTTTAGTCTATTTTTTATGAAATAAATAATAAAGAATAAATTGTATAATTATTTTAGAAAGATAATATTTTTGTTTAATTAGCAAAACTTAATCTACTGCAATTAAAATTACTAGACACTTTCCATTTTTTTTTTCCCGAAAATTCATAATCATCCATATTATTATGTTAATGAAGAAAGATTTGGTGATTATGATATTCTGTTAACACAGTGGTAAGTAAGTAGAAGAAGCCGACAAAGGAGGCAGAAAGGGGCCAAGTCAACCGTCTAAGGATGATTGGTTGGTCTAATAAAGACTACCAGGAAATAGCAAACCAGTAGACCCTTCTTCCCTGCTTTTCTTCTCATCATAATCCAACAAAAAACCAGAAGGCAAATCACCAAACAATCTGCTCTCAAGATTTTCTTTCTTTTCTTTTGCATGCTTCTTTTGGTCTGATCCTTTTAGTAGCTACTGGGTACTTGCGATTTTTACGAAATAAATCAGAGTTTGCTCTGCTCGAATGGGTGCTTGTTGGAGCAATCGGGTCAAAGCCGAGACTCCTTCGCATACAGGTATTTTGACCCTTTTTGGCTTTGAATAAAATGCTCTTTAATCTTTGCTGGGAATTGTAATTTGTTCTGATTATATATCTGGGTAAATTGAAAAACAAGTTTTTCCTTTTTTTCCCTCGATGACTTTGCTTGACTTGCTGGGACTTTTTTCTTCAATTATATTTTTTGCTAGGTTTTATGAAAAGATGTATGACAGCAGCATAAACACTGTTTAATGTTATAGAATTTTGTTTAAGGAAAGCTTTTTGTACAACAAATCTGGATTTCCTAAGCTCATATATAAAATGAAAGACTGTATAGCAAACGTAAGCCCATGCTGAGGAATGAAACATAAAAATTGTATACCAAAAACTCTAGCCTATGTTGATGATTTCCTTATCTATGTTGATTTTTGTGATATTTAGTGTTCAATCTGTCTTCTACTAGAATTCGAGTTTTGATGAAGCTTTGGTAGGAGATCTTGTTTTATCTTACAAAGTTGTTTCTGTTAATTCTTGAAGAAATGCATTGTTTTTTCTTTTTTTTTTAAAAAAAATTTTTGGTAGGGCTAAATTCGAAAAATGTGAGTAGAGATGGCAGTAAACTCTCATCAGGTTCAATTCCCCAAACCCCTCGAAGCGAGGGTGAGATATTGCAGTCTTCGAATTTGAAGAATTTTAGCTTCAGTGAACTAAGAACGGCTACTAAGAATTTCAGGCCTGATAGTGTTTTAGGGGAAGGTGGCTTTGGTTCTGTTTTTAAAGGATGGATATATGAGAATTCACTTGCAGCTGCCAAGCCAGGTAGTGGCACGGTGGTTGCCGTGAAGAGGTTAAATCAAGAAGGGCTCCAGGGTCATAAGGAATGGCTGGTGAGTTAAATTTCAAATGTCTTATATTTGTTTTGTTGATCGTTTCTTTCAAATGTTGTCTGTCCATGGTTGCAAATTCTTTTGCACAGTTTGGTAAATTTTTCATGCAAAGAAATAGGCAGAAGCCAGCAACAATCAACATGACTTCAGAATGTCCAAGCATTAAAATAAGCAGATCTCGAAAACTGATAATCTTTCGAGTGCCTTTTTAGATGTCAAACTTCTTTACACAACTTCAACTAGAAGAAATAATTGATTCCCTGTTGTACTTTTCTATATATACAGGCTGAAATCAATTATCTTGGGCAATTGCATCATCCTAATCTTGTGAAATTGATTGGTTACTGCTTAGAAGATGAGCACCGGATTCTGGTATATGAGTTCATGGCTCGGGGTAGCTTGGAGAATCATTTATTCAGAAGTGAGTAGTGGCCTCCATTATCAAAATTCATAAGCTGTATCTTCCAGGAGAAGCTTATAGTCAAGCATTGCACCTTATTCATCTTCCATAACTGAACCGTTATGTTGATTTTTAAACAGGGGGTTCGCGTGTCGAGCCACTTTCCTGGAATTTTCGTATGAAAGTTGCCCTTGGTGCTGCAAGGGGCCTTGCATTTCTTCATAATGCTGAAACTCAAGTTATATACCGTGACTTCAAAACGTCTAATATCTTGCTTGATTCGGTATGCTAGTTATCTAGCATTATTTGTTCTCCTTAAAAATAAATTTTAGAAATACCTATCCCGTCAATTCATCTCAGCTTTATGTTTGCAGAACTACAATGCAAAACTTTCTGACTTTGGGTTGGCAAGGGATGGGCCAACTGGTGATAAGAGCCATGTCTCTACAAGGGTAATGGGAACGTATGGATATGCTGCTCCTGAGTACCTAGCAACAGGTAATTTTAATTTTTCCATGTGGTTAGATGGAATCCTAATTCATGTGGATCAGTTTTGCTGTGATGGACAGATCTCCCTATAAGTCTGCTTTATGCTGTCAGTTTTCTGCTTTTCAAGTAAGGGGTCCAAGAAATTTTGATCGTTCTTCTTTCTTGGGATCTTTTATCACCTGCATGAAATTTTATTTACCTTCTATTTTTACATGACCATAGCCTTATCTAAATAAGAAAGGTACTTCCCACTTGGGGACACTATTATGAAAGTTAAAGGAATGTTATTCCTCTGGTTCCTTATATATCTATGGTGCTTACATCACAATATTTATCTGACAATTATTTCCAAACAGCTGGGAAATAAATATTAATTTTCATGCATCTATAGAAGACATCTCCTTGCAGCAAATTTACTGCCACCTGACTAAGTTGAAGGGTTCCCTGTTCTGATTGTTAATCTGTATCTGTGTTGGAAAGGTCATTTAAATGCAAAGAGCGACATATACAGCTTTGGTGTTGTCCTTCTGGAAATGATATCTGGCCGACGAGCTATAGACAAGAATCGACATTATGGGGAACACAACCTAGTGGAGTGGGCAATGCCTTACCTATTAAACAAGCGTGGAATTTTGCGGGTTTTAGATCCTCGTCTCCAAGGCCAGTACTCTCTAACTCGGGCACGAAAGGCGGTTACCCTTGCACTTCAATGCTTAGCTGTAGAACCCAAGTTGAGGCCAACCATGGATGAGGTGGTAGCTGATTTGCAACAAATTCAGGAGGCAAGAGATGTGGCAAAAAGTACTCGCAAAGAGCAGAGTAATGTAAGTAAACGAACCTCCTATCCGAGGCCTTCTGCGTCGCTAGTGTATGTTTAGAAGAAATTCACAACACAGTTGAGCAGCAACATATATATATATATACGTATTCTGGATTTTAATTATCTCAGGGAAATGGTTTAAAGAGTTTGAGATTTTGATAGTCCTTAGGCCAATGCATTTCACTCTGTCTACACATTACAGTTCACATTGAGTATGGATTGGGATTTGATGTTTCTGTCATACTTGAAAACAATGCAGGAATGTATATACACATACACACATATATATGGAAATGTAATTTAGCTTTAGTTTCCTCTTCAATGATTTCAGCATCACTTGTTGGAGTGAAGAGCCTAAGGCCTCATGCCTACTTGTCATCAATAGCAAAGAACCTTTATTCCTTATTCCAAACAAGTATTGATTTTATTTCAAGTTTAGCTTGCTTATTATTATGTTGACATAAATCAAGATTAGTTGAATTTAAGCTAAGCAGCAGAATCCAAAGGGATCTCATGCGTTAAGATTGACTTAGAACAATAACTCAAGTAGTGCTTAATTGTAAAAATGACCTTTATAAAGGACTTATCTATAAAAACAGTTGCCTAGAGTATGATTTTGGAGGTCCTCTTCTGCAATAAAAGCATTCCATTATAAATAGAGTAGTTCAGATCGTACTTTATTTATAAAACATAAAGAAGAGGAAGGTAAACAGCTTTAATTGAGCATGTTGACGATATTGTCTTGACACGAGATGATCAATGCGAGGATATGCTACATCTTTTTACTAAAATTAGAATGCTTGCTTAAAAACCAGTAAAAGCACCCATATGAGTGAATCATAGGCTTGAAAATTTTTAAGATCAAGTTCCAAAAGACATTGGTCCTGGTGTCCATAGTTTAAAGATTAATTTATTTGTCATACACAGAGATCAGAAGATACCCATGTGGTGAATGTTGTAAGACAATTCATGCATGTCCTGTTATACCAAATATTAAAGTGAAAGCAGCTCGATCAAATGTTTCTTTATTAAAAAAATGTCCCTAAAACTTTTCATTAAAAAAAAAAAAAAAAAAAATTGTCTCTAACAATGAACAATAGATGAATGATGACTGCGTAGACAATTAAACAAGAATTACTTCTGTAGAAAGTGATCTTATTATTTGAAAAAGAAAAAACATTAAGATTGTAGCAGGGATATATTGAAACAAAAAGACCTATTCACAGACACTACTATCTGAAACTAAGAGCAGACTACAAGGACTAAAAGAATAGTTATATGTGCTTAGGTCAAAGCTTACTCTTCATTGCCTGGGACCTTTATGTAGATCATCATAAATTTTTAACATAGATCATGGATTAAACATCCCAACAAGGTAGCAATTAGATATCCTATATATAAGGCATCTTACAAACAGCAGCAATTCTTTTGGTTCAATAGTAGCCTTGTTGGTGGACAGCTCAAGACAGAATTTTGTTACAATCATAGTGCAAGGCAGAAAGGACCTAGACCTCAATGGGTATTTTCTGCCAGGTCTGTGCCAGGGCAAGGTCAGCTTCCATCCATATGAAGCATTAGACAATGCAAAGCAGCAGAAGATAACTCACCGTAATGAAAAAATAAAATCAAAGACAATAAAACAAACAACAAATTCAATGTTGCATGTTCCAATGCATTTTCATCGACTCAACAAGGCTACACGATCTTTTTGTATTGCCTGTGTGAGATTGACATCAAATAGCTCACACCGAATGGGCATCTCCATTTCATAAAAGGGATTCTTCAACACATAGTCTGTGTACAATTCATAGATAACTTTTAGGAGATTCTCCATGTGCTGTGCCCCAGGCTCACAGATGACAAAGAATTTTGTTCCTGCATTCAAAAAAAGGATTATTTTGTAGATTCAACATTTTCCAAATTAATATTTCTAACCAATTGTTGTTCCACAAAGTGTAATTAACCAGCAGATCTGTAAATGATCATTCATTAAAATGGAAGACCCAGACAGCAAAGTCGTACATAAAAGAAAATGAGCAACACAACTCAAAAGCCAAAATATAATAAAGCATTCCTCTAATTTCAGATCTTGTGGATCCAACTGACAATTTGAAAATTTTCGCTTAGCTTGTGTCACTGTTTTTGCAGTCAACTAATCTACCTGGTCTAAAATATTCTCTGCTTCTTGGATCAGGACAATTATAATTTTTATTTCTTGCATATTCAGGACTCACAGCTGACCAAGTAAAACCACAAACTCAGAGGTTTCCCCATTTAGGGAAAGAAACGTGATACTTAGACCAGCCATCTATAGAATTCTAGAAATCAATTATGAGCAACATGCATGTATCTGAAAATCCCTTCTAAGGAAAAACGAGATTAGAGCATGGATAGGGGAAAACCAGATTACAGGACCAAGTCTCAGCAACAATATGCTGCCTATAGGAGGTACTAGGAGGACATGTGCACATGCATAAAAATAAAAATCCCTTATTAACAAAATGCTAACACCCAAAACCTAAGATCACCTTTATTCATATTTATCAACAAATTGCTCCAGTATGTCCACTTGATATTTGTATTACCTGGAAACCTAGAGCTAAATATGATGAGATGAAATCTATAACATACCAGTAAGAGATTGGAAGCAGTGGAGATCAAATTTGTCTGCTTCCAAGAGTTCAATTCCTGAACAACCAGTGACTGGTGATAACTGCTGAGAGATTGCATGCATTGAATGCCACAAACTAGCCACTCGCAAGCTATTATTTGTGTCCATACGTCCCTCCGATCCATAATCCTAAATTTCCCAAATAAACAAAGCTTGTACTGCTAAGACAACTAAAATAAAAGAAAAACATTTGAAACTGTCTTGAAAGAGAAATCAATTTGATTTGTAAGAAAACAAACAAAGACAGATAGTGATAACAATTCAGGATCTCCCTTCTGTTCTATCATTCTTAGACAAATGTGAAATTGGTCAAAAATACTTTATACTCGTATCTTGAATTTTGCTTTAACTTTGCTTGTATTCTGCTATTTTTTTTTAATCCAAACAGAGCAATAGAACCCATGATTCAGGGTCAAACTTTTTACCTCTTCAAAAAATTCAAAGATAATGTCTTTCATTCCATGTTAGATCCAAGAATAAACTTTAGCATGCAGTAATCATTTCTTTCCCTTTTCCCATAACCAAGGAAGACCATTTGCCTCAATTCATACTATGCGGACTCCAAATAACAAATAAAGAATCAAATCCTCCATGTTCTAACCTTAGATACTAAACAGACAATAAAAATCCAGTGAAAGAAGAGCTTATTCCTTAACCTTCCAAAATTCAATGTTCATTAACAAAGCAAAACTGTGATAAGAGATTTCCCTACGGAAACAAGAAATGTTTCACTCAAACTGAAAGAAGAAAATAAAAACAGAAGTTAATGCGCATAAGAGATGGTACCTTGTAGAAGATCAAGCCACCTGATTTATTGATAATATAGAGACTGTAGATTGCTGCCATTCTCAAGAGCTCTCCACAAATTCTATCAATCTGTACAAAAGAAGATATTTTCATTGGAGATCAAAAATTGAACACCACATACATCTGTAATTTAACTGATTGGGCCTAATTTGTATTCTTTTTTCTGTTCCTATCCACATGTAACATAAATACGTTAATTAAAAGCCTGAGTTCCACTCGTCTGGTTGAAAAAATGTGGGCCTAAACAATCATTAAATAATTTCTGGGACAAGCTAAGAGAAAAATAAACTGTCACTGATCTATTAAGAGTAGGATCATCAAGGCTGAGGATTTTGGGGATGTCTAGATATACTAATTAATTTGTAAATCTCTTGTAAATGGGTGGTACCCCCTCTTTTTTGGTACTATACTAATATAGTTTCTATACTTTTTCTTTCAAAAAAAAAAAAAAATTAAGAGTAGGATCAATCGCAAAAACACAGCATTGATCAATATAAAAAAAGTTGAATTATGCAAGGTGGGAAGGTATGAAGTACCTACTACTATAGTACAAACTAGCTAGTCTATTAGTGTCCTAATTATAGTGCAAGTGTGCAAGTAACTTTCATTATGAAACCTAGTAAAGAGATTCATCATGTTACTAGTTTCTCTTGTAGGTTCCTTCAACAAACCCCTTTTGCAATTAAATACTCTCTTCAAATTGTAGCTTATGGCATATTTGTTTGCAATTATTAGAGGGGAAACATATGAAGATAGGTAAAAGGCACGAGAATTCATTTGCGATATTCTGTATTCAAAAGACAGGCAACATTCAACAGTTTCTCAAGTTGAGAGACTAATAGTTGATTATACAAGGTGAGAAGGTGTGAAGCACCTATCATATGGTTCAAACTACTTAAGTAGGACTAATAGCAAGTAGTTTATTAATAAACTATAGTGCAAGTTGCATGTAGCTTCCATTATTTTTTTAAAAAAAATAAAAGTGTGAAGTGTATTGATGTGTCGGCGCCAAGGGGGCGCCACCCAGGTACAAAAGATTTACGTATCAATTAACAAATTTACAATGGAGCCAAAGTCTTCTAAACTATCAATGTTATGCCCTAAAACAATAGAGCCAAAAAAATGACATGTAGCTTCCATTATGAAACCCAGTAAAGAGATTCATCATGTTACTAGCTTCTCTTGTAGGTTCCTTCAATGAACCCCTTTTGCAATTAGATCCTCTCTTCAATTCATAGCTTATGGCATATTTTTCTCACAATTACAAGAAAAAAGAAAAGATAGGAAGATAGCTAAAAGGCCTCAGAATTCATGTGGCATATTGTGTATTCAAGGGACAAGAAACATTCAACAATCAGGATACCTGTGTTTAGTATTCAATTTCTAAAAACTTTTTCTCTCTTCTTTTGTAGAGCGAGAAAACACTCTTTTTTTTCTCCTGACTACAGTGAGCAACTTCTTGGCTCCTTGGTCAGAGCAAATTCTTGCTCTGTATCCATGTTAGGCCATCAGTTAGAAGTTACTCTTAAATGAGGAGCTCATTTTTTCTTGCTCAAAAGTCACTCTTAAGACTCTGATATGCACCTTGGTTTTGTATGTTACAAGACAAGGAAATTGAAACTAAGTGCTTAAAACTACTAATAAAGCATGAAATAAAGCAATCTCAAAACTTTCTAAGAAACTCACTTAGTCGCATAAGCTTTACAACAATGGCTAAATATTTTTGGATCAAAAAGGAAACCAAAACACAGGTATAGAAAGGATTAAATAAAAAAGATAGAAGCCACCATCAAGATGCCAACACACACGACAAAACCTTATGAGAATAAGTAGTGATTAGGAAAATAAAATTGAACCGTAAAATATTAGAAAAACAAACCAAATGACCTATTTTTTTTAATTAGCCTAGTTCTTGTCAAAAATATCTTCCCCATTGAACAATAGAGAAAAACTTATTCTTCCCAACCAAGCATATGCAACAACATTTCGAGATCATCACATGCGTAATCTATTTTCTAGCTCCTTAATGCCAATAAAACAGTATGATGAATCAAAATAATTCAAAAGTACACTTTTTGAGAACTTATCAACCAAACTCAAACCAAGAAAGCTCAAATGTCTACATCAAAAAATCAAAATTATTCATGTTCAATCTCTTCTTTGACAAATCCCACAAGCTAGCAAATGAAACTCTCAAGAACAAGTAAGGCCATTTTTTAAGCTGCCTAAAGGAAAAATAACCCAAAAAGAAAAAAGAATTACAATACCAAAAGATTAAAGGCATACAAGCTCTTTTTTGTCTAGGCTTCTATTCTATTTTTCAGTGTACTTTGAAACTGGTTTACTACAAAGTATCTATGGCTTAAATCCAACCAAGTTGTCTCACTAGAAAGAGAAGAGATGCCGTAATTGTCCTATGTCAAGCAGATGTAGGCTTCAAAAACAAGACCCATCAGCACTAAACTGATAAAAGAACAGATGATGAAGAATGATCAAACCAAGGAAGTCATACATATCCGCAATTATTAAAGAAAGCAAAGATAATAATGATTTGAAGCAGTCATCACTTTCATTAGCTAACAAAGTTTCCAGGAAAAAAAGGGAAAAGGCATAGGGTTACAAGCAAGACCGAAAAACTTCTATTCTTGCCCCTAGTCATTTTCGTTTAGGTAAAAAATCTTCCCCCTAATCTCCCTCAACTTGGAATAGAAAAAACTCTTATTGAAGCGGCAAAAAAAGCAAACTAGGAACTCAAACCAATGCTTCAATCAAATTTGCTTAAAACTTGAAGAAATTAATATTCAAAACGCCTAATAGATTCAAAGCAGAAACAAGCAAACTGAATTATCAATATTCAATCACAGATCACCTAGACATCCGTTTCATTGATCATGCATCTGACTGTGGAAAAGAGGAAAAAAAAAACGAAGAGAAAAAGGCTACATTACCGTTCCTAATAGAAGCCGAGCCCGCTTCCCCCTCAACTCGCCTATGATTTTCCTCTCCACTTGGTTCCAGAAACCTCTACAAAAAGCTCTCTCAATTTCCCACAAATCAGCTTTTAAACAACAGATCTACCCAACAAACCGGAGCTCCCTATACTATGATTGCCTTTAGGATTCCGGAATTGCTTCTCCGTGTGCTCTTGATTCACCCCACTCAAATCCGAAATTCCTTACTTTTTTTCCAATCTGAACGCTTTCTCTGATCCTTCGTTCACTCCCAAAAAATCCACAAACCCGTCCCCTCTCCCCTTGCACCGACTACACTGGTCTCTGATCTCTGGCCTTTTGCCTCGTCGCGGGAAATGAAGAAGGGAAAAAACGGTGCCGTTTTCCCGACATGAAATGATGGGCTGCTGTATGATGGGCCAGCTTTTGGGCCTCCAAGTGTTTTTGGGCCACTATGCTGAAATTAAATGTGGCCTTTAAATATGAAATGAAATAGTTTCAGGTAAGATTAAATAACTTATTAAATTAAATTGCATTTTCTTTATATTTAATAAGTTACCCAAAATGAAAAGAACAAAATGGCATTTAAAATGGCTAATAAGTTCTTAACAAATATATATTAAAATTCACAAATTAATTTAACAAATACAATTATGAGTTAATCAAATCAATATTTATAATGATTTTATATAAATTAAGTAAAGTAATCAACTAATAAAGATGACATTCCAAATAACCATGAATTCTTTATTTATGTTCAAAGATTTCATGAGTCAATATAAATAGAACCTATGTTTTCCACAGCCTATACAAAAAATCAATCTCAAGCCTTTTATTTTTCTCATACTTTTCAATTGTTCTTCAATAAAATTTTGTTGGTATTCTCGACAGGTGCATAGTCTCAGCAATTACCCTCTTTTTGTAAGAAAAGAAAAAAGAGTAACTCATTTTCATTCTTCTTAATCTTTAGGTACAAATACAAAATCTCGATGCATAATGTTAATATTCCCTAACACGTAATCTATGCCGACAAAATTTATGGAAAAGGTGGCAAAATCTGTGGACAAAATCTATGTTCGCAAAATCTATGGAGAAAATCTATATCGGCAAAATCCTGCAGGACCCAAGACCATGTTGCAAAGGTATTTTTTTTTATTACATATTCATTTTCTAAATTTTAATTCCATCTGTGTGTTATATTTAAATATGTATAATAATATTGGTACGTATTTTGTCAATAAAATTAAAAGGAGCTTCGATTACAAAATAAGGAATATAAGAAATATATTTTTTAAGTTTAACTAGTGTATAACTCAATGCACACACTTTTTCTAGAAGCTATCCTATCCTCCTCACAATAATTAATTCATAATCCTGAAATTTCTTAAATTAAAAGCAAGTGTTTTCGTTCGTTCTCCATATAATTCATTATTATTTTTCCAGCACTAGTTTTCTAATCCTCAACAATGGAGTCCAATGCAGGTATACCAGTAAACGAAGCCCAACCTAACAATAACGAATGGCTGGTGTTTCACTAAACATTGCTGCCATTGTTGGAAGCACTAACGAACGAAGCAATAATGGGCAAGTACATTCAATTTTCACATTATCCTACTCATTATCAGATGAGAAGTTGGGATGTGCCAAGATTTGGCGAAGAAGATGAAAAGAAATCAATGGAGTATATTATTCATCTTAAAAGAAGAGAAGCCGCGATCTAGGCCATTGAAGAATTTAAGAGAAACTGTATTTCTTAAGATTATCTTATAGACCTTTAAGTCAGTGACGATCATGACTTTATTTACAAAGATTTTGTTAAGTCGATCTCGATAAAGTATTTTAATAACCAAATAAGAATTTAGTTCAACCCTAAATTCTTCCAAAATTACATATAATATTTAGTCGATACATGCATCTAAAATGAGTATATTTGTTATATTAAGCCCTGATTGACTATTTAACTAAACATTACCCTTCTAAATTCTAGTCCATGAAAGGAGATGTTTGTAATTTTATTTATAATTAAATCCATCCTCACCATTATCATTTACAAATTCATGCCTTTTCTGGGGATAATGTTTGTTATCATGCCACTAACATTTTTCAAAGTGTGAATTTTCTCCGAGTTCAACATTCAATTTTCTCTCTTGGAATTCAAGGTGTTTTACGATTGACCAATACATATTAAGTCCATATATTATTTAATAAGATTTATAATCTTCTTGTTTCAAGCCCAATCACGAAAACTCTTCAATAACTAAAAATAGAAGACCTCCATTAATACATATATACTACATCTAAAGTGTAATAAAGTAAAATTTTCAAGACTTATTAGAAAAATAAAGATGATTCATAGAAAATAATCTTTTTGACGAACTAATTCTTAAGAAAAAGATAGACTGATACTAAAGTACAATATTTTTTGGCCGAAATCTTCCTTAAAGTTAGGTAGACAACTTATGTGAGTAAAAAATGCTTAGTATTTTACCGCACATATACTGCTAATTTATAATATTGCATCAGTTTTTAAGTAAATTTCCGTACAAATTTTTATATGCATAATATTTTGAATATTATTCTCAATTACATGTATATATAGGATACAAGCTATAAATTTTTTTGGAGGCTAAAATCGTATCTCAATGTATATATATATATATAATCCTAAATCTGATACTTTTTGGCATGTAAATATTTTTATATAGTCTAATATTTTTTTTAAAAAAATGGTTAGTAACTTGAATTTAATAGGATTGGATTCATTATTATAAAAGTATTGCTATTACGCTTATTTATATAATTACATATTTTTTATCGATAAACCCTTAAATTTATTAATATCATGAAGAAGCTATTAACAAAAATGAGACTCATTGATTAATATAGAGAGTAGTAGTACACATTTAATGATTAACCAAAAAAAAAAGGATATTTATATCTTTATGTATGTGTGAAAGGGAACAATTTGGACATGTACATTGTATATATATTACACATACATGTATATTAATTTCAATGTATAAGATCTGTTCTTGTCCCTTCATTTGTTATTTATTTACCATTAGTTCAGAATGACAATTAAGAAAAGGAAGAGAATCAAATATTTAATTTCATATTTAGAATTGGTAAATTTTCAAGGTATAAGATTTGTTCTTGTCCTTTTATTTGTTATTTATTTACAATTAGTTCGAAATGACAATTGAAAAATAGGAAAAGAATCAAATATTTTATTCTATATTTAGAATTGGTAGATTTTCAATGTATAAGATTTGTTCTTGTCCTTTCATTTGTTATATATTTACCATTAGTTCAAAATGACAATTAAAAAAAGGAAAAGAATCAAATATTTAATTCCACATTTAGAATTGGCATATTTTTAAATGTATAAACATTGTATCTAGTATACCAATTTAAGTTATGTGTATTAGCTTCAAATTTTGCATGGTATATACTTAAGTACAACTTCAGGTCTATAGCACTTATTACCATCTTATATATAAT